CCCCCCCCCCCCCCCCCCCGTCCCCACCGCAGCTCCTGGGGGCTGGCACTGCCTGGCCTGAGCCAGCACATAAGGCTCTCCATCTTTGCGCATGAATGAGCGAGTAAGCAGCTCCGTGAGCGAACGGACCAGTCAGCTGTTTCACTCGGACTCCACAACCAGAGTTCTGGCTCCTTCGACTCCGCCGCCCCAGTCGGCCAGCTCCTCCTCACCCAATCACCCTCCCAGCTCCCTGGCTACCCCAGCAAAGCCAGCAGACCCCACGCCGCCCCGGGGCGCTGTCCCAGGCCCCTCACCTTTCTGCACCTTGTCGCACAGCAGATAGAGCTCCTCGCCCCCCGTGCACGGCCCGCTCTCCTTGTTAATTCGGCAGATCCGCAGCTCTGACGTGTTTGTGGACTCTGGGACAGAGCGAGGGGCAGAGGGATGGAAGCAAAGATGAGGATTCGGCCATCCAACCCTTAGCAGGTACCCGTGGGTGCCCACCCCGGGCCAGGCCAAGATGGAAACGGAGAAGCCAGCTGGCCTGATCCTCCTGGAACCCGTGGTCCAGGGAGAAGAAGATGCTCAGACGGAAGGGTCGATGGAGAGTCGTGAGTCCTCCAGGCTGAGGCCCAGCGAGTGTCCAGCCGAAAGGGAGGCTGTCAGACCTCAGAGGAGAGTCGGCCAGGTCAGAGGTCAGAGACCATTCTGAGAGGAGGATTCATGGTCTGAAATCTGTAGTGGACACCCTCGTCTTGCCTGTCTAGCCCTGTCCTGGCCCTCTTTCTGTTAACAGCCCCTCAATTTTTCTTGAAGATAACAGCCCCCACCCCCATCTCAGTCAAGCGTGCACCTGTCTTGGGGGGCTGAAGCCACTCCCTAGCTCAGCAGTGATCACATGCCCCAAACCTGGCCAATGAAAGCACCGCCTCCCTCTGGCCACAGCTGATTGGTCAGAGAGGAACACATGACCAAAGCCAGGCCAATGAGAGCAAGCCCCGAGAATCCAACCAAAAACCTTGGGTAAGAGAAGCTCTCTTTGGGCACAGGGGAGAGGTTCCAAGCTGGTAGGATACAAGGCTAGGGCTGCATACAGTCATTTTGCTCCCGCCATGGGAGGACCCTGCCAAAAATGACTCTAAATTGGAGGAAGTAGAACTTAGAGTTGGAAAGAGATCCCTAATGGTACTGCTGAGCACCTGGATTCAGCCAGACCTGAAGCACTTTAGGTGCTGGACCTTGTTAATTAATGGAACAAGCAGATTCTTCAGCCCCCTTGAGTTGGAATTCTATCACTTGCACCCACAAAAGCCTTGACCAAATCAATTTCCCTCCCATTTGGGGGCACCCGGGTGGATCAGTCACTTACGCGGCCGACTCTTGGTTTTGGGCTCAGGTTGCGAACTCACGGTTTGTGAAATCGAGTCCCGAACCGGGCTTTGCACTGACGGCATGGAGCCTGTTCGGGATTCTCTCTCTGCCCCTCCCTCTCTCTGTCTCAAAATAAATAAACTTAAAGAAAAAAAAAATCCCTCCTCGTTTTGATGCTTGTGGCCGCTAAAACCTAACGGCCATTCCCATTCTCCTCTTCCATACCTATATCCCTCTGGAGACGGTGGAAAACCTAAATACTCGCTTTCCCAGACTCCCTTGCAACCAGGGGCAGCGATGAGACCGAATCACGGCCAATGATACATAAACAGAAGTCTACCAGGGGGATTCTGGGGAATCTACTGTTTGCTGTATGAAAGAAAAAAGTATTATTACTCGTGCTGCCTCTTTCCTAGAACGGCCTAGTACAGTGGTTCAGGTTGTGCATTCTACAATACCGAGAGCCCTCGTTTCCATAGGCTACCTAATAAACGCTGACCACTGCAATTGGGCAGTGTACAGCCTGCACACCGTACAGGGTGACCCTGCCCATCGTGCCTTGAACGCAGACATGATATCTGGAGGCGTGGCAGCCAGCTCATGACCAAGGGCATCACAGAGCTGAACCAGGGCCCTAATGCTGCCGAGCAGCCGAATCAGCACCAACACACTTAATAACGAGACGAATAAAAATAAAGAACACCCTTGGCTTGTTTGTTCAAGCCATCGAATGTGGGGCTTTCCAGTATCTGTGGCCAACAACAATCCTAATAACGCACACCCCAGACTCACTCTTGTCATAGACGGGCTCAGAGAGCACAGGGTCCATCCGGCGCATCTGTCCCTGCTGGTCCCTATATGAGGCCTGGAAGCAAATCCTCACGACATTCATGTCCACCTCTTGATGGTTCTTCAGGGACCCAGCTGTAGGAGAGATATGGGAAGGCTGAGGGTGGGGGGTGGAGACTCTGGTGGGAATATGGTGGAGAGGGTAGGGACTGGGGACTGGGGAGATAGTGGATACCGGAGAAGGTGAGGTAAGGGGACCGGGTGGCAGAGAGGGCAAGGCGTTCAGGAGGACAAGACAATCTGACTAGTTTCGGGGACTCACCGTTGTAGGGGTCGATGCCCAGCTGAATCTTCCGCTCAATGGCAGCTTCAATCTCCTTCTTCCTCACACACTGGATGCCCAGATTGTTAAAGCTGAACGGGGAGAGGGAAGGAATGGGTGAAGGGAAGTACTCATGAATAGGCAGGTAGAGACCTAACCCAGAGGAGGACTCCGGCAGATGCTGCCTCGGGGCTCAGAGTCTCAGGGTGCCCAGCATCAGGAGGGCCCTAGGGTTTAAACCCCTCAGGAGCATTGGGGATTCTCGAGAGCACCTGGAAACGCACCTGTCTTTACCATATGAAAACACTGGCCAACCCCATTTATAGTGGGAACACTGCAAATTATGGGGCACCCAGGTAGCTCACTTGGTTGAGCATCCGACTTCAGCTCGGGTCATGATCTCGCAGCTCGTGAGTTCGAGCCCCACATCGGGCTCGCTGCTGTCAGCCTGTCCGCGCAGAGCCCGCTTCAGATCCTCTGTCCCCCTCTCTCTGCCCCTCCCCTGCTTGCGCTCTCTCAAAGATACATATTAAAAAAAAAAAAAAGTGGGGCGCCTGGGTGGCTCAGTCGGTTAAGCGTCCGACTTCAGCTCAGGTCACGATCTCGCGGTCCGTGAGTTCGAGCCCCGCGTCGGGCTCTGGGCTGATGGCTCAGAGCCTGGAGCCTGCTTCCGATTCTGTGTCTCCCTCTCTCTCTGCCCCTCCCCTGTTCATGCTCTGTCTCTCTCTGTCTCAAAAATAAATAAACGTTAAAAAAAAATTAAAAAAAAAAAGAACACTACAAATTAAAACCGACGTGATGCCAATGTAGAAAAAACTCATCGACACAGCAAGGATCAAAACGTTTGATAAAGCTCTCGAGAAAGCTGTCAAGAATCGAGCACTGTCACCCACGGTGGGTGGGAGCGTAAGGCACTCCAGCAAGGACAACACGGCAGGATTCATTCATGCTACAGGTATTTCCTGAGCACCTACTGGGTGCCAGGCACCGTGCTGGGCACTGGGGGACACAACCGGGAACAAAAGAGACAATATCCCTACTCACATGGAGCTTCCATGTGATTTTTTTTTTTTTTCTGCCCTTCAGTAAATGTATCCATCACTGAAAGTACACCTGTGTGGACTTAGAGCGAGCAATTTTATTTCTAGGAACTGATCCTAGAGAAGAAATGATATATGTGTAAAGCCATGCATTACAACACAGTAATTGGGCCACAGGAGGCCGGAACCACCCTAAGTGCCCATTACTAGGGGACTTGCTTAATTAATTGTGCACGTCTGTACATCAGAATTCTATGCAGCCAGGAAAAAGGATAGGGCAGCTCTAGATGCTTATAGGAGTGATCTCTAAGATGTACTAGAACGTGAAAAGGAGGTACAAACGTTTGCTACTACTTGTAAGGGGAGAAAAAAAAAAAGTACGGGTAGCATATTTTTAATCGCCTCTAGGAAGGGACGCTGATAGCTGGGAGGAAGTTTATTTTTCACCGTAGAATCTTTTTGTACCTTTTAATTTTTATTTATTGTAAGTGATAAAGGGAAAGAAGGAATGATCCTCGCAGTTAAGTGGGGTCGGGAGTCAAATCCCAGCTTTGCCATCAGCTATCTGGGCTCCTTCACCTCTCCGTGCCTCAGTTTCCACCTCTACAAAATGGGGATAAATATAATGTGTGTGAATGGGCGTGCAGCAGGGGGGCCAGGCCTAGGTAAGCCCCTCCACCACCCCCAGGCCTGGCCTCAGTCTCCCCATCTAGGAAATGCAGTGGGGACAATCTGGCCAAGCGGCCCCTTTTGCTAAGGTTTCCCTGGGCAATCTTCAGCCCCTCTATTTCTCTGGTGCCTGAGGTGCAGGGTTAGGGATCGGGGGTCAAGTACCTGTGCCGGGGGCTGACATGAGGCCGGAGCCTCACCCTGCAGACGCCGTCGGTGCAGTCTTTCCCCACGAGGCTGTGGGGGTGGACTCGGTGAGGCCAATCCTTCCACACCAGGCAGGCGGTCACCTCCACCTCCCGAAGCCCTCCACAATCCCGGAGCTGCAGGGAGACAGGTGCGCTTTTGGGGTCCCATCACAGACACCTGCACTCATCCAAACTCCCTGGGGCCTCCTCTGGTAGCTCCCCAACCCTCTCCCCCCATAGGATGACGGAAGGGTGTTTGCTTAAGACCCCTCTGGGATCCTGAGCCAGAGGCTTCCGACTGGTGACCTGGGGGCCTCATCACATGATAGCTGCCCTCCAGATGTGTCTTTGGCCACTGTGAGTTTTAGAAACTTGGATGCACACAGGGTCTCCAAGCATGTCCCACAGAGAACTTACTAATGACCAGAGGAAAAAAGCACCTTCTCAGGGGAAACGTCACTGGGCGCCGTGTAAATCAGGTGGCCAAGGTCAACATCACCAATACTGGGCCAAAATGACTTGGGCACCCTGACGGGGTACACTGGGAAGGCACAACATCGCTGCTGTGACAGCTTTCCAGAAGCACGTCACCTGAATCTCACCGTGATTCCTCAAATGAGCCCAAATGGTGGTGCATCAGGTCAAAAAAAAAAAAAATCAGTGTTGTGAAAGAATAAAAAGATGGGCATCGCATTTGGGTGATAATCGAACAAATAACATATACGGACCTGGCTGGCAATTACACAGTGGTGTATGTATGTGAAAATGCATAGAGCTGCACACACAAGAGTCGATCAACTGCAAGTTGATTGGAAAAAAAAAAAACAAAAAGGAGAGAGGGGCGTCTGGGTGGCTCAGTAGGTTGAGCGTCTTGAGTCTCAATTTCGGCTCAGGTCCTGAAACCAGGGTCGTGGGATGGAGCCCTGTGCCGGGCTCCGTGCTGAGCGTGGAGCCTGCTTGAGATTCTCTCTCTCTCTCTCTCTCTCTCTCTCTCTCTCTCTCTCTCTCTGCCCCTCTCCCCTGCTCACGCTCTCTCTCTCAAATTAAAAAAAAAAAAAAAAGAGAGACAGAGAGACCAGAGAGACATGACACGCAAATGCAATCTATAACATGTGATCCTTAACTGGATCCTGGATGCAGGAGGAAGAAACGATGATAAAACACATCTTGGGGACAAGCGGGAGACGTAATACATTGGACGATATAAGGGGATATTGTTAATTTTCCCAGGGAAGCTAATGATATTGTTAATGTCGCCATGCGGGAGTTTACTCTATTTGCAGGAGGTGCCGGCTGAAGTATCCCGAGGTGAAGTAACTTAACATCTACGATGTGCACGCACATAGTTTAGCACAAACAGTGTGTGTGTTTGCGTGTACGGAGAAGAGTGGCAGATACAGGGAATGTGGCCCAATGTCAACTGGCAAATACAAGTTAAGGGCACACAGGTGCTCACTGGACTATTCTTCCCATTTCCCTGTAATTAAAAAATGTTTCAGGGGCACCTGGGTGGCTCAGTCGTTAAGCGTCCAACTTCAGCTCAGGTCATGATCTCACAGCTTGTGGGTTCGAGCCCCGCGTCGGGCTCTGTGCCGACAGCTCAGAGCCTGGAGCCTGCTCCTGATTCTGTGTCTCCCTCTCGCTCTCTGCCCCACCCCCCACTCACGCTCTGTCTCTGTCTCTCTCTCAAAACTAAACATTAAACAACTGTTTTAACAAGTTTCATCCAAACTCATCAAAATGTATGCATTAAATATGCACAACTCTGCATATATAAATTACACCTCAATAAAAACTTTTTTCAGCTACAAAAAAAGACTAAAATAATTTTTGTTCCAATTTGGGGAAACCGAAAATTCGGTGCCTGCGTTTCAAAAGCGTGAAACATCATGCTCTTCCAGATTTCCAGATTCCCTTTAAAGAAAACGGACGTTAAGGCAACTGGGGTCAGAATTGCTGTTCAGCAGCCACATGGCAGGGAGGAAGTTTATTTTCCACCGTAGAATCTAGCAGCTAGAAACCAGCTCTTCAGATGTCGCCCAGACCCACCTGGTTTTCCTGAGTCACCCGTAGGGCCCTGCCGACATCAAAGACCTTGTAAAGCCTGCTCTGAACTTCTTAAAAAAAATTTTTTTTATTAACTTTTTTTTAAATGTTTATTTTTGAGAAAGAGAGAGCAAGGCAGGGGCAGGAGAGAGGGAGACACAGAATCCACAGCAGGCTCCGGGCTCTGAGCCGTCAGCACAGAGCCCGACGCAGGGCTCGAACTCACGGACCGCGAGATCGTGACCCGAGCCGAAGTCGGAGGGTCAACTGACTCAGCCACCCAGACCCCCCTGAGCTCTGAACTTCTAAAGCCCTTCCCTATCAAAGACCAGGAAAGAATGTGTCTCTGTGGGGGAGTACTGCCCTCTAGGGGGTGTTTGGGATATTGGGAGGTGATATGGGTTGACTGGGTAATGGGGACCCATGGCAGGCGGTAGCCAGAGCCAGACGTGCTCCACCGCCTGCAAAACCAGGGACAGTCCAACACAAGTCCTGCAAGATTTTGATCATCCGGCCAACATTCACATCGGTGACAAACCTGTTTGAAATAATCACAGCCAGAATTTAGCTGTTTTGCATATACAGTCCTTTTTCCCATAACTTAAAAATACGCTGAATTTTGGGGGCGCCTGGGTGGCTTAACTGATTGAACGTCTGACTTCGGCTCAGGTCATGATCTCATGGTTCGTGAGTTCGAGCCCCGCGTCGGGCTCTGTGCTGACAGCTCAGAGCTCAGAGCCTGGAGCCTGCTTGGGATTCTGTGTCTCCCCCCTCTCTGCCCTTCCCCCGCCTGCGCTCAGTCTCTCTCTCTCTCTCTCTTTCTCAAAAATAAACACACATTAAAAAAAAATTACACTGGGGCGCCTGGGTGGCTCAGTCGGTTGGGCGTCCGACTTCAGCTCAGGTCACGATCTCGCGGTCCGGTCCGTGACTTCGAGCCCCGCGTCGGGCTCTGGGCTGATGGCTCAGAGCCTGGAGCCTGCTTCCGGTTCTGTGTCTCCCTCTCTCTCTCTGCCCCTCCCCCGTTCATGCTCTGTCTCTCTCTGTCTCGAAAATAAAATAAAAATGAGGAAAAATATTTTAAAAAAAATTATACTGAATTTTCAAGGACCGCGGCCACCATGTTAACCGAGGGAAGACCAGATTTTGTTTAGACTAAGGGTTGTTTGCCACTTTGGAAGATCCCATCACCAGCTGCAACCCTGGCCAAATGGCGTTTAATTCGCTAACTCCACCTGACTGGGTCAGGCTGCCGATGGGGCTACCGCATTAGTGAGGTCTCAAGTGACTGCCATCTTCATTAGGATTCCCTGGGGCTGTGCCTGAACATTTACATATTGAAATGAAGGTGCTTATTATGCTGTTTATTTTCCTTTTATTTCTCCTTCATATTAAAGTTACGGCATTATGGATTTGGGGAGTGATTATGAGTAGAGAGACGTAATATTGTATATAAATTTCACTGAGTCAGATGGGGCTAAAGCTATTCATTTAACCAGCTCCCCGCCATAATATTAGGAGATCCAGAAAACCTCAGAGTCAACAGTCTGGGGATTCAGGAGAACTGCAGGGCTGGAAACTTCTAAGATGTCACACGAGGCCTTGGAATAAATCAGACCTGGTACCAAATCCAGGCTCCCTCGCTGGCCATCTGCATGATAAACCTGTCTATTCTGCCTTTATCTACAAAATGGATATTAGTAAGCACCTTGCACACAGGAGTGCTTAGTAATTACTACCGTCAACTTGCTGTGTGCCCCCGAGCAAGTAACTTGCCCTCTCTGAGCCTCAGTTTCCTCCTCCAAAAGATAGGACTAAAACTCCTGAGTCCAGATTCGGAGCCAGGTAGTCCTCTGTTGTTGGGTTTTTACTGTTCTAACTCTTTGAAAATCAAAACCAACACCAACTCAGAAAAACTGCCTGGAAAGACCTAGAAAGAAAGTGTTGGGGAAAACACAGCGTCCAAGCATCACCCCACAGGTAAGTTACTAATTACAAAGGAAGGCTGTACCTTTACAGCGAAACGGGCTGCTGGTCCCTAGCTGGTATGGGCCAAGGGCATCCCCCTGCGACTCATATGTTGAAGCCCTAATCCTCAGTGCCTCAGGATGTGACTGTATCTGGGGACAAGAGTCTTTCAAGAGGTGATTAAGTTAATGAGGCCGCTAGGATGCGTTCTGATCCAATCTGCCCAATGTCCTTACAAGAAGAGGTGATTTAGGGGTGCCTGGGTGGCTCAGTCGGTTGAGCGTCCGACTTCAGCTCAGGTCACGATCTCGCGGTCCGTGAGTTCGAGCCCCGCGTCGGGCTCTGGGCTGATGGCTCAGAGCCTGGAGCCTGTTTCAGATTCTGTGTCTCCCTCTCTCTCTGCCCCTCCCCCGTTCATGCTCTGTCTCTCTCTGTCTCAAAAATAAATAAACGTTTAAAAAAAAAAAAAAAAGAAGAGGTGATTTAGGGGCACCTGGGTGGCTCACTCAGTTAAGCTTCTAACTCTTGATTTCGGCTCAGCTCATGATCTCACGGTACATGAGTTCCAGCCCCGTGTCAGGCTCTGTGCTGAAGCGTGGAACCTGCTTGGGATTCTCTCTCTCCTTCTCTCTCTGCCCCTCCCCCATGCTCTCCCTCAAAAAAAAAATTTTTTTTAAAAGAGGTACTTTGGACACGCAAAGAGACACCAGACGAGTGAGGACACAGAAAGGGAAGCCGTCTTGGACCTCCAGCCTCCAGAGCCATGAGGACAATACATTTCTGTTGTTCAAGCTACCCAGTCTGTGGGATTTTGTAATGGCAGCCTGGGCAGGCTAATATACCTCCCCACAGGGTCTGACTCAGAATCACTGACATGGGGACAGACTGTCACCCCATGTCTCCTGATGTGAGACTGATGTGAGCCACAGCATCGCCAGTGGGGTATTCCCACCAAAACATCCAGCCTGATCTCCTCTTGGAAACGCTCAACAAGCACAGAATGCGGGACATTCGACGAAACAGCTGTCCTGTCCCCCCCCCCCCCCACACAAGTGTCCACACCCCAAAGCATGAAGTCAGACTGAGAAGCTAAACTCAGGTCAAAAGACACTAGAGGCAGAGGCACCTGGGTGGCTTAGTCGGTTAAGCCTTCGACTTTGGCTCAGGTCATGATCTCACGGTTGGTGAGTTCGAGCCCCGCACTCGGCTCTCTGCTGTCAGCACAGAGCTCGCTGAGGGATCCTCTGTCCCTCTTGTTGCCCGTCCCCCCACGCTCAAAAATAAACATTAAAAAGACACTAAGGCCATCCGTCTTTGTCCGGGCTGCTACAACAGAACACGTGAACTGGACGGCATCTAAGCAACAGCAATTTATTTCTCACTGTTCTGGAGGGGGCCAGCATGGTCAGGCTCTGGGGAGGCCCGTCTTCCAGCCCTGACTTCCCTCAGGGTCATTCTCACCTGGTGGGAGGGGCCGGCAAGCTCTCTGGAGTCTCTTACAAAATCATCAACCCCGCTCACGAGAGCTCTGCTCCCATAACCTCAGCACTTCACAAGGGCCCTACCTTCT